TCCGTGGTGGAGAATACAGGTTCTGGTTCTGGGCTGCCTGGGTTTGACAGCTGGCTCTATTACTCATCAGTCATGCATAACCTCGATGATCCTAAATTTATTCCTATGTAAATGGAATAATGACAATATCTATTTCATGGGGTTCTTATGAAGATTAAGTGGTTTAAATGATTAAATAATTATTTAATTAAATTTAAATATATTAATTTAAAGCACTTAGAACCACTTTTGGAATGTTCTAAGTATTATTATTTGTCTTTTCTTAACATGGAAAAGAAAAACTCTCATCCAAAGTGAACTACTCCTGTGCTAGTAAAAATACATGCTCTGGCCAGTGAGCCTGTAAATTGAGAGGAATAGCATTTCTAAGGTGCCTTGCACTCTGAAATGTTACAAGCCTATGCTTGTTACAGAAAGAAATTCTTAGAATACAGAGGATAGTTAAGTCTGCTTTCTTAACATTTGGACATCTGGATACTGATATTTTGATTCCATGAAATACTACCATATTTCATGACTTGAAAGGGCAAACTATTTACCATTCCTTTTTCTTTTTTTAAGATTTTATTTATTTATTCATAAGAGACACAGAAAGAGAGGCAGAAGCACAGACAGAGGGAGAAGCAGGTTCCTCACAGGGAGCCCAATGCGGGACTCGATCCCGGGCCTGGGATCACACCCTGAGCCGAAGGCAGATGCTCAACCACTGAGCCACCCAGGCATCCCGTACCATTTCTTTTTCTTTGATGCCCCACCAAAGGTGTCTGAAAGGCCACTATCCCCAGCCTTGAACCTCAAGCGGTTGCTCAGAATATGCATGGCTCCTCAATGTACATTTGCTAAATTCTGCCCCAGATAGGAGGAGCATTTTTTTGTCTGAGTCATGATGGATTCAGCCAGATATAAGTGTCTACTCTATTGCTCCGTTTCCATCCTGGATGCGACCCCCGGTCCCCATATGGTGACTCCATTCTAATAAATCATTCCCACTTTGTACCCACATACTGCCACACTGGTCCTCACCACCACTTTCACACTGAGAGAGCGCTGAATGATGCACCAGCCACTGTTTTTAAGTATTTTATATCTATTAACCCTGCCAAACCTACAACACCCCTTTGAGTAGAAATTATTACTACCCACATGTTACAGAGAAGGAAACTCGGGAACAGAGATGCTAACTAAATTTCCCAATTTCCCATAGCTGTTAAGTAGTAGCTCCAGGATTCAAACTCAGGTGGTCTGGCTACAGAGTCCAGGCTCTCAATCCCTATACTATACTGCCCCAGCATTGTTTTTAAGATTTTATTTATTCATTCATGAGAGACACACAAAGAGAGGCAGAGACATAGGCAAAGGGAGAAGCAGGCTTCCTGTGAGAAGCCAGATGCAGGACTTGATCCCAGGACCCTGGGATCATGACCCAAGCCAAAGGCAGATGCTCAACCACTGAGCCACCCAGGTGCCCTTTGTCCCAGTATTTAAGACCCAGAACCTCGGTCCCTGGCCTCCAATTCATTCTTCTATTCACAAATCTTACTTTGATATTTATAGTGCTTCACAGTTTAAAATGATGTTCACCTCCATGATCCTATCTGTTCCTTGTGACCACTGTGTGAGACAGGATGAGCATGAGGACGCTAAAGCTCACAGAAAGATCAAAGGCAAAGGAAGGACCAGATGTTAAAATCAGAACCTACAGCTGGATCTTTGGCAACCAAAGCCTATGTTCTTTCTCTAACACTCATACTTCTGTCTCCAAGGTTGGGACAAAAGAAGATATCCATGACATATCACTTTCTGGTAGAGGTAGGGTCTGACTCAGGCCTTGAGTTCTAGGTGGCTCTCAGCCTGAGGGAGGAAAGGATGAGAGAATAAAGTATTAAAGAAAAAAATTACCGAAAAGCTATGGGGGAAAGGATAGAGTCTAGACACATCATCATAAAGAGAATGCTAAGACTTGGTAATGGTTTGGGTATCGAAAGCAAAGGAAAACTCAGAAGCCAAAGGGACTCCAAGGTTTCATATGTGAGAAACCAGGAGATCCTTAACACCATTAGCAAAAACATGGATGAAAGAGGAGGATATAAAAGACAGTGTGTTTGGCTACAACCACAGATGAATATTAGGTGACAGCAGGGCATACAAGTGGGAAAATACATAGTAGATGGAAAAACCTGGAAAAGGGTATCTTAGAGGCATTATTTAAAATATTTTTAACTATGATATTTAAAACTATGAGTTGATGAGACATCACAGGCAAGAAAAAAGTAGTTAATAGATTATGGGGCAAATAATAAACCTCTGGGGGAATAACCGAGTAGGGAAGAGAAGAGAAGGTGACAAGAGGGAAAGTGGTAGACAGGTAGTTGAATAGATAATATAGAGTCATGGATGACAAGGAAGGGAGAATTCAAGAAGTAGGAAATGATCATGAATGTCACATAGAGCAAAGTAGTCAAACAGAAGGAGGATTTGGAAAAGTATCCTTCACGGCACTTAACATAATTGAAATGAATTATTTGGGTAAATTAACATCTTTCCTAAGTAGACTAGAAATGCCTAAAGGTCAACCTGGGTGTTGCATACTGTAACCTCAGTTTATAGCAGTGCCTGATGCATAGCCATCATATTTATTGAATGGATAAATAAATGAATGAATGTAATTCCTTTCTTAATAGCATCACAAGTGACCCTAGGAAGTACAATGACAATCAGGTGATGAAGATAGATGTTATTGTAATTGCAGGAAAATTTAAAGAAATTTAGGTTTTAAAAGAGAGAAAATAGGTCATAAGGCAGTAAGGGGCTGAGTTTATTAAGTACTTCCTAGAGATGTGTTTTGCTGAAAGGAGAGAGAAATCAGATTGAGGAAATTTCCTATCCTAGAATACTATATATTTAATAGGTTTTGTACGGACATCTGCTGGACTTCCACATGATCTTCCAGAACTTAAGGTAGCCACTCCAGTCACAAGCTCTACAAGTGATGGAAGCAATGGAACCAGTACAATTAGAAGCCTATGGGTTAGGGACAGCTGAGTGGCTCAGTGGTTGAGCATCTGCCTTCAGGTTAGGGTGTGATCCCAGGGATCCAGGATCGAGTCCCGCATCGGGCTCCCAGCGAGGATCCTGCTTCTCCCTCTGCCTATGTCTCTGCCTCTCTGTGTCTCAAATAAATAAATAGATAGATAGATAGATAGATAGATAGATAGATAGATAGATAAATAAACAAACTCTTTTAAAAAAAAAGAGATAAGTCTATGGGCTAGGCATGACGGAAGATGTGGAGAAAGCACGGTAAGCAGAAGTCAGAGGAAACAATGGCACTACCCACAGAAAGACAGAGCCAGGAATGGACCCAAGTTGGAGAGAAGTTAAAGAATCCTGTGAAATCATTCAAAAGCGGGAATGCATGTGTGGGGTTGAATGTGTGAGGGAGAGCACATGCACTAGCAGCATATGGGATGTACAAAACAGTTACGAGTAAATTCTAAATAGGAAGTACTGAAGATGATTAGCTAAGTTATTACATATGCTGGCAAAACAGTCATAACATATGCCATTGTATAACAGAGCTCAGTTAGGTAAAACAAACTGCTCATTTCACGTATTAAAGTTGCATTTCCTTAACATACTAAATAAGTATGAGAGAGTAGTTTCAAGGAACACACCAAATGTGCCTCCAGGCCACAAAGGAGTAGAAACATTATTTCATTCCCTAAACTTATTAGAAGACATTATCAAGCTAGAATAAAACGAAAGGCAATGCAAACCTAATTCCCAAACTGATGCTTGCAGAGAATTTCAGAAAATCATAAGCACATGGAATAAACATGATTTGACAACAAAGACACATTTTCTCATCATCTCCCTTACCTGTTTCCCCAGTATTAGTTGCCCATATGTAAATGTGTAATGCCATGTGTAAATGCCATATGTAAATGTGCGCGCACGCATGCGTGTGTGTTTACACTCGGGGATGTATAGATCTATTTAAGGATCTCACCAGAGTCCATTTGAATGTCATCATGCACTTAATCCACAGGGTATAAATTATAACAGTCTTGTGCTTAAGCTGGTATCCAAACAACATATAAGCAACTTATTATATAGCAAAAAAACCTGAACACTAAATTCCTGCGTTTAAAAGATGTTTTAAGGAGGCTCAGATTTAAGGTGTATTTTTAAATACATTATCACATATGAGTAATATTTGCAACTTACAATTTTGAATACTTGATATAGATAACTCCTTTTTTCTCCCAAGTACAGAGTTTGATGTATTATGCGGCAAAATGCATTTTTCCCTTAAACGAGGAAGATAGTACTAATTAAAACAATCCATATTAAAGAGTAATTTTCAAAATCTGATGCATCTTTCTAGTGTATATTCATATTCACTCAGTATCTCGTCCCCTCATGGTATTAAAAACCTCACCTTCATGTTGAAATTATTCCTGGGAATTCAGGCTTTAGCAATCTTTCTACTAAATTTACAACCATAGTGGATATTTAACCATATCAAGAACAGGATTATAGCTCAACAACACTAAATAAAACATCTGAGTTTTCTAACAAATGAAAGAAATTCAGAACAGAACTTCTATCTTCTATAGAGAGGGATGAGAGGTTTTCAGCAAAGTGACAGTACTTTTGCTGTGAACCTGATCTATGTCACAAGGATACATATTTGCTTATGTAGACACTCATTTTTTCATTAGGATTTAGTGCAATGTTTCAATTTGTAGATTAAATTAAGTGCTAATAACAAGAAGATAGATTTCCCTTCTCAAGCCATTAAATTTATATAGCAGTCCAACAGCCAAAATGTTCTTTCTTTATATATTCCTATCCTCCTCCTCTCGTCATAAAATCTCATATCAAATGGTGGAAGAAGTCATTCATTTCCTGACAAATCCCAACCCCTCAACACACAAAAATACAAAAATCAAGAAAGGAGACATCACACTGAAGACCCCTAAACACCTTATTCTTACCTCAATCTGATGGCTACAACATTTTGTAGACACAGTTTTCTTTCAGACACACCAATCGGGGAACGCTGGTCTACTTGACCCTCATGGAGTGCTAGGAGCAGGAACTTGAAAAACCAGCCTCTCGTGTTCCCACAATCTATTTACACACTGAACACACCCAGTAGCACAGAGTAATGTTTATCTGTGGTGGACAACTATTCCATGAAGCAGGCAGTATGTCCACTTTCAAAAAGGAATGTCTCTGTTGATCAGCAGGGGAAAGGTAAGAGCTGTTTCATCTGCTAAAGCACATTTTGGAAGATTAGTGAAATGAGATATTATTTAAATTAATGTTTTAAAGGGGATTCATTCTTTTAATATTCTGTTCCTTATAATATTCTATTCTCAAAAGATCTGAGAAAAATATATACTTAATGATAACACATATGTGCCAGGTGCAATTCCAAGTTTGTTACATATATCATTTCCCACAAGTTCAAAATTTATTAAGTATGAACTCTTACTATCTCCCTATTGCACATGGGCAAAGTAGGCATTTTGCCTACAGTTACCCAATTAGTAAATGGTAGAGCCAGAAGTTAAATCCAGGCACTCCAGCACCACAGTCTGTGTGTCTAACTATGATACTTTACTGTGTACATATAATTTCTTTTTGTATGTATAATTTTTAAAAGATAACTGTAACAGGATGTGGCTGCTTGGCTGAACATTAGATAATGAGTGAAATTTTCTTAATATTTTACTATACTGCATCTTAATTTGGAGTCAGTAAAAATTCTGGAAGATTATTTCCCCAACATGATTGTTCATTTATATGATCATAGCAGGCCTCATTTTAGATGCAATGGCCCTTTGGGGTGCCAGGGAATTGAGTAGAAGATGGGTCTGACTTTAAGTACCAAGAGAGTTATTACTTCCTTATGTTAAAAAAAGTGTCTCGATATCTATTTTGTTCTGTTTTTGTTTTTGTTTTTTTGATTGGATAACTCCTATTTACCTGTCTTTAAGTTCACTGACTCTCTTTGGCCACCTTCAAGCTGATGTTGAGCCCAGCTAGTGTATTCTTATTTTGGTTATTATAATTTTAAGTTCTAAAGGATTTCTTGCATTTAAAAGTGAGCAAAGTGAGCAAGTGAGACAAACAGCAGGCAGATGTGCAAAAGCTGACATAGTTGTTTCTGGGGTTTAAAAACTGGGAAGCATATGGAAAAGTGAGTCTTTCCAATTCCTAGGTAGGTTCTAAAGTTTTTATTTGGTTATTTATAGTTTCCACTTACCTGCTGAAATTCCCTCCCTGTTCATCCATATTTCTTTTATTCTTTGAACATATTCTCCCGTAGTTTTTTAACCACAGAATAATTGCTTTAAAGTCATTGTCTTAAAAGGCCAACAACTGAGCATCTTGGCTTCTTTTTTTTCTTGACCAGAGGTCATATTTTCCTGTTTCTTTGCATGTTGAATAATTTTTATTGTTCACTGGGCAGTGTGGATATGTTTAGAGATTCTAGATTCAGCTGTCTTCCTCTGAAGAGTGTTGATTTCTGTTCTAGTAGGCAGTTCAATAGGTTTGGTTTTGTGCTTTGTTAAGGTAGGTATGTAGAAAATCTAAGGTCTTCCCCAAGCCTGGTTCATTTTAAGGTATCAGACTCCAAATGCTATCTCTTCTCCATATCTCATAAGGGTAGGGTTTTATAATTTTCAAGGGTAGATCTATTATAGGTTTTACTTTAGGGCACGGTCTTTACTCCTAAGGCTTCTGGTATCTCAGGTGGATGCCCACGAGATTAATGCGGTATTAGCAAGATCTCTTCACTCTTATTGCTTGGAGCTTCCACATCCCCCAGCATGGGCCAACTGGTAATATCTGTCCGTTCTCAAATCTGTACCCTCTAGCCACTCCTAGGTAGTCTAGCCCTGTAAACATGCAGCCCAGTTCTCAGCCAAAAACGCTTGGAAAACCTCCAAATGGACTTTTGAAGACCTTCCTTTATATAGCTACTTCTTCTGTGATGCCTTGTCTTAAAAATTTCAGCTTCTTCAAATTGACTGAACTCTGATTCCTGCCTTCTCGGTCCAGCAGCGTCACTATTGCTCTGCCTGGAATCCAGCAAAATATGCCACTGGGAAGTTTTCCCCAGGCAGAGAAATGGAGGGATGGTTGAGCTACCTTGTGGGTTTCTTTTCTCTCAGAAATTACAGCATTGTGCTGCCTGTTGTACAATGCCTCCAGTCAGCTCATATATTCTATCCAGGTTTTTTTTTAATTTATTTTTATTCTATCCAGTTTTATGGTTGTTTATGGCAGAAGGGCTAGTCTGGTACCAGTTACTTCATCAGAGTGAAAAGTCTCCCGAGGGATTCATGTTTGACAAAATTTAAGTGTTATGAAAAACCTATTTGCTGTTCAGTCTTACAAGTCTTGTGCAATTTTAACCCATCTCAAAACATAATCATATGAATCATGTGAAGGGAAGGTGGTAGGGGCCAACTTCAGTGGAGATGGGATAAATTAACTAGCTGCTGTATCCTTTATCTTCTCCTAGTGTCTTAGTGTGGGTTTCTTTAGAAGCAGATGCTGATTTGACTGGATATATAGTTTATCTGGGAGGCACATTAGTTTCCTTAGGCTACTGTACCAAATTACCTCAATCTTGGTGGCTTAGAGCAACATGCATTTATTATCTTACAGTTCTGGAGGTCAGAAGTTTGAAATCACTTTCACTGGGCTAATCTCTGGGTGTTGACAGAGCCACTCTCTCTCCACAGGCTCTGGGGGAGAACTTGTTTGCCTCTTCTAACACCTAAGGATGCATTCCTTGTATTCTTTGTCTGTGGCCCCTTCCACCATCTTCAAAGTCAATAGCCTACCATCTTGCTTCAGCAGTCACCATTCCTCCCTCTTCTATACTGAATCTCCCTCTAGCTTCCTCTTAAAGGACACTTGTGATTGCAATTAGGGCTCATCCATATAATCCAAGATACTTTCCCCATTTAAAATTCCTTTACTTAATCATATTTGTAAAATCTCTTTTCCCATTTAAGGTAACATTCACGAGTTTATGGACTAAAACCTGGATATCTTTTGTGACCATTATGTGGCCTACCAAAGTCTAACCTTTGGCCCTTAGAGATTCATGCCCATCCCACATTCAAAATACCCCATTCAACCGCAAAAGTCTCAACCCATTTCAGTACCAACTCAAAGTATAAAATCCCATTACCTAAATCAGATGTGAGTGAGATTCTGGAATGATCTGTCTTGGGACAAAGTTCCTCTCCATTTGTGGACTTGTAAAACTAGAAAATAAGTTATTTACTCTCAAAATACAATGGTGGCTGGGATCCCTGGGTGGCGCAGCGGTTTGGCGCCTGCCTTTGGCCCAGGGCGCGATCCTGGAGATCGAATCCCACATCGGGCTCCCGGTGCATGGAGCCTGCTTCTCCCTCTGCCTGTGTCTCTGCCTCTCTCTCTCTCTCTGTGACTATCATAAATAAATAAAAAAAAAATTTTTAAAAAAATACAATGGTGGTACAAGCATAGGAGAAGAGTTATCCATATTCTATTTCAACTAGGGAGAACTAGGAAAGAAGAGTCACCATCCCCCCCCCCCAAATTTCTCAATCCAACCAGCAAGATCCATTGGGTTTCAAGGCCTGAAAATAGTCCTTTATGGTTTGAAGCTGTGCCCTTGGCCTGTAGCTCAACACTTTAGAACAGAGCTTCCATCCCAGAGCTCTGAACTCTGGGTGACATTACTGTGTCTGTTCATTGTACTTCTTTTAAATGGGTATAGCATCTGCTGGTTCTCTCCTGAGTTAATGAAAACCTTTTAACATGTTTATTTCATATCTGTATAAATGTCATGATGTTATCTTGTTCTGAAAATAATCTTCTAACCATCTTAGAGGTCGAACAGAAATTCTCAATACATTCACCTGCCAGAACTAGGTAAATTTCTTGGTCAGAGAAGTGTACCTCATGCAGAGTTTAAGCCTAGGCATGTCTTGTCTTGGTGGTTCAGGTGAATCTAAAGCATCAATACAATGATGTTGACTCTCTTTCTCTAGTTTTAATTTTCTGACCTACCATCGCAGTCTGTTTTATTTTGGATATGTTATAGCCTATAAGGTATTGATGTGCTAAAGTAAAATGGCTTCTTGTTCCAGAATAGGCATGAGGATACTGAAATACAAAAGTGACATGGGCAGAAAGCTGCAGAAGGGTTGCAAAAAGAGAATTTGTTTCAATTAGCAATAATTGCACCTCAGATAAACCTCATTGGCTATGATACTCCCACTGTGCAAAGCTGCAAAAAGAGAATTTGAAAAGGAACACAAATCTGTCCTAAAGGTTTCCAAACTGGATGCAATTTTCATAAGTTTATTCCTAAGATTTTCAAAAGGGGACTGTGGTTACTTTAGCATCAAATATTTTATTGAATATTAACTCAATCTGAGAATTTGATTTGTTCTCAGTAAGAAAGAGCAAATTATGTTATAGTATGGATCTGCCCTAAGAGATTGCAAAAAGACCCTCCTTAACTACATGAGTTTCCTATGACTGTTGCAACAAATTACTGAAAACTTCATGGCTTTAAAAACACATACAGTTTGTTTATTTGCTCACAGTTCTCAAAGTCAGAAGTTCAAAATCAGTTTCTCAGAACTGCCTTCTTTGTAATCTACCCAGAAAAGCAGAGATTTTATTGCAATAGAAAACCTTTCTACCATTTGTCTGACTTCATCATGACTCTTATTATTCTCTTTAAACTAAAAGAGATCGGAGAAGTTACATAACTTTTGAATGGTTATTACACAGCCACTGTAACAGGTAGCCAAGCTACAACCATTCATGTTCTGAAGCTTCCATAATCCTATCTTGCTCAAATGTCCTGGCAATTTTACTGTTTCCGTCCTCAAAATGAGTCCTAAATGAAAAATAAAACAAAATAATACTTCAAAGGATATTTTGCACTTACAATTCTTTGAGACCTCCCAGAAGGCACTGAAAATCATGAAGATTGTCGCCTTGTAAAAAAAAAAAGTGCTAGAATTATGAGGTTTATCTGATATACTATTGTTCATGAGTTGTATGGGAAAAAAATTCTCAAAAGAGGTGATCAACTTTCTCTAGGTTAAATATGAATAGGAATAACATTATTCACATAAATATTTTAGAAATTATAGCATATATAGGAAAGGAAGTTCCTAGAGCTTTGTCAGTATTCTCACTGGCCACTGCTTCTATCCTTGATGATATTAAGGCAACAATATTACAGTTATCAATGTAATTTGTTATTTTTAAATGTTTAATGGCAATCTTATGATTTTAATTTGCAACTAGCATTTTCTAGGCCAGTGCTTTCGAACTGAGGATGTATATAAAGCTTATCCCTAGAGATTTCATTAGAATACACAGGTTCAGAACCCACTCCAGACTTTTTCTAAAATAATCTTACTCATTAGGTTAGTAGACTTTTTGTCCAAAACTCATTTTGTGAATTGGCTTTATTATCTCCTTTTGCATGCCACACACACACACACAAAAGTAATTTCCTCTTCACTTGCATTATTCTTATGCTCTCCTATGAAAGTTTTCATTTGTGAAAATTATCGGTAATAAGTTAACCACAGTCATTATAAATGTCTGTCTCCTCTGGATTGTTTTTTGTTTGATGGTTCCCCCAAGACCGTACAATCTACAACGGGACAAAGAGCTTGTTTTCAACAAAGAATGACTGTCTGAGAATCCCCAGGAAGAGGACAGGTATTTCTAAGAATGAGCTCTTCAGTACAGGCTTCTGATGTCATTACATAACCACCTTTAAGATCAGGTCAGTAGACAGACTCAGAATTTTGAGATCAAGTTGACTGAAAAGGAGAAGTGTTCATGACGTTGTTCAACCTAAGATACAGTGGAACAACACCTACATTTACAAAGTACAAAGATAAAATCAAAGTATGAAATCAATCCTTTTATACTAACAGGATTTCCCAAATAAAACACAAGTGAGTTGTTGACAGTACTTTCCTAGATCCAAGAGACACTAAGATCAGTACTGAAGAGTTTAGCTTCTTTTTCCCAGGGGAGAACATGAAACACTTTCCATCTCGAGGCCCATTTCTCAGGATATCAGAGGTGAAAGAGCCTCAACGCAGGTAAGAGAGACAAGCTCTCCTACTCATTGTGATGCTGGGAGAGCTGATTACCCTCCTGGGGCCAAACTGGCCTCAGATATAAAATGGAGAAACTTAAAAAGGCCCTGTCCCCCATGCCCCCACTTACTGTTAGTCTAGAACTTCTTAGGAAAAGCGCATAGACTGGTAATTGTGCATATACCTCACGCAGACCATTAAAATAATTTCGTCCAACCTCCCCATTTTATGGCCATGGAAGCTGATGTGCCTCCTACACTTATAGGAGACCAGAACCTGGCTAATCTCCACAGGTAGTTGCTGGGGAGAGGCCTGCTTGCCAACTCACATGAAGAGTAGAGTTAAGAGGTAAACCTGGCTAAGGCTAGGAGGGCTTCCTGGCTCTCTACAACAAATTACCAAGGAGCTAGAGAAGTTTGCACAGGTGGCCAAGGCCTACCGGGACCACTGTCACAACCTGGGGGCCCAATAAAATCCCAGGAAATACCCAGCCAAACAGAAGGAGAGGATGCTGGCAGAGAGAAAAGCTGCTAAGGAGGCCACAGCTGGCTGTGGTAGCTCCTTGAACTTACCTCAAACGACTGTCACTGTATTACTATGAGACTAATGAAATCTGGAAAAAAAAATTTGTGAGGTGGACATCTTGACAATGTTTCTGTAAATACTTGGCTGAAGGGGCAGTATATGTCAAGAAAGGTTTCTTGGATTTATAGAAACGCATAGTCTAACAAGCTCTAAATCCAACCTCCACATTATTATTCTCAGGATACTTCTGTGAATTAGATACAGGCCAAGCCAAGTCTTTCTGCTTAGACAGATGGTGGAGGGAGGCAGAAGGAGGGTGAGTCAGTCACCAGGCAGAGGGGAGCAGAGAGGAAATCAGGCTGAGTCCTGTCTGGTTCCCAGGCATACTTCTGGCTTCTTTCTCTACATAGCACTCCTCTGTGTCTTCACAGGGCTCAGCAGGCTGTGGTTTCACAGCCAGTGGCCCAAGCACCCAGCAGTCATGGGAAAACCAGGTGCAGGAGCACTTGGGGAAGTACATGTAAGCATCTCGTCTACCAAAAGGGAGAGAGACACACAGCTATTCGTTAAGGGCACACTCTGTGCCAGGCACTGTGTTATGTAGCAGTTTACAGACACACATTAACTTTATGTTTTTGCAAAAATCCAATGACGGAGGAATTCTTATTATCCCCATTTCACACATTAGGAAAGTGTTGTTCAGACAGAATAGAGGACTGTCCAGGATCACAAGGCCAGAAAGTGGTGAACTGGGATGGCCAACCCAGCTCCTCTGACCCCATTGTTGAAGGTGCCTGGGCAACCTCTGAACAGCCCTCTATGACATGTCAGGGGTTAACAGAGGGGGGGCCCTGAGCATACATGAACAAGAGAAAATGTTAAATGTTGACAGTCACAGGAAGAGAACAGACTGCCAGACACTTGACGTGACACTATTTTTAACCTAAAACACACAAGACTGTTTATAAGAATTACATGTACTTGTGAGTCCCCCACTTGGGACAGAACTTACAGAAAACATACTTATATCTCTCCAAATGTGCATTCAGACACTGACAAGTCTAGGTTGCTCCATCAACTATATGACCATAGGCAGATTAGGTGTTTCATCTGAGAATGAGGCTAATGTGCTTATGATGGAGTGTATTTAGAAATAAATCTACTAAGGGGCACCTAAGTGGCTCAGTTGGTTTAGTATCAGACTCTTGATTTCAGCTCCAGTCACGATCTCAGGGTTGTGAGATCGCGCCCTGAGTCAGACTCCACGTGGAGCCTAAGATTCTCTCTCTCCCTCTCCTCCTCCCTCCCCTTCCTCTCAGATCAATCAATTATTAATAATCATTAAGAACTTTTAGGATTGCATGTCTTAGGCCAGATAATACCTTTGATGTTACTAATGAACATACCAGTGTCCACAGGAGAGGACACAAGGACATACTCCACAAAATGTTATCACAGCACTAATATTATCGTCTTAGGTCCCTTTTTGGAATGAGGCAGGGTATCAGTGAATGAAATCAATCTGAGCACCGTTCCACTCTGTATACCTCTTCATGGGTTCCCCATCACCCCTCAATCTTCACGTAAAGTTCATGCCGTCAAGTTCACGTCAACTGCTCTGCCACCCTCTCCATCCACCCACACTGCCATCACCTCCTGACTTCTACACGTTCCCTTCTCATGAATAAAGCTCCTGGCACCTCAGTCACGAGCTTCGGGACCTCCCCAGTTACCACCATGGTTCTGGGAACTCAACATGCCTGGGAAGCCCCCCACCCGCTGCCAACCTCTCAGCCCGCAGGCCTTGACTTGCTCAGAGACCAGGAGGAAATCTCTCCTCTGCAGCCAGCTACTCCCCCCAGGGCCTTTCGCCCCAAGCAGTCCCCAGAGAAACGCCTCCCTGAAACCCTGGACTGCAGCCTCCCACACTGATCACCCCTTCCGCCCTCCGCTCCCCACGGGAGATCTCCTCCTGGGTGTCTCACAGACCCCGCCGACTCGGAAGGACAGAAACTAGTCAGAGGCATGGCCCTGGGCTTCAACCCTTTAATGGCTGGGGCCCCCAGACAAGTAGGCCCTCCTCATCTGCGTGCTGCTCCGGCGACTAGACAAGGCTGTCGGCTCTGGTGACTAGATGCGGCTGTCGGCTCCGGTGCCCGGGCCTGACAACTTCCTGACCTGGGCCATCCCATCCCCCCGGGAGTAGGTGTTCTCCTCAAAGAGTTGGCTCAGGTACTGGTTGTTGCCCAGGGCCTTCTGCAGGTGCTCGGGGGTGATGCACGTCTTGTGGCTGTTGCAGGCCTCCTGGCCCGCGAGTTCCAAGATGTTGGATGTCAGGTACTCGAGGATGCCGGCCAGAAACACAGGTGTGGACGAGCTTAAGCGGTGGACATAGTGACCCTCGCGCAGGAGGCGGTCCACGCGGCTGACGGGGAACTGCAGCTCGGCTCTTCTGGAGCGGGACAGGCCATGCCTCCTCCGTCTACGGGAATGCCCGTGGCCTCTTTCTCCAGACATATTGGTGGCTGCGTTTGGCCCTGATCAGCCCAGCCCAACAATCCCACTGGCCTTGGTCCGTCAGGATACCAGTGCTCACTCCGGTTCACTGTGGGCCACGCTGGTCAGTGA